CTTGCTAGTACTATGGCTGAGAGGCTCATGTGGATGGGCTTTTATACTTGTGAGGGCATCTCATGGGGAGGAATAGGCTATATTTCTCTCTCTAAAGTTACATTTTTCTTGATCTAGCTGGCATCAGCCGCTTATGTCACCCAGCATTTCTACAAATGTCACACTCACTCCAGAGTGGGGTGGCTATAAGCATGCACTCACGCTCTACCCCTTCCTGCAGCAGGTTGTACAGTCTGGGCAGACTGAGCACATGTGAATTTGAGCATCACTGGGCCCAGGTAGCCAGCATCACCCAGAAAACAGGCTGAGCTGAGGTTTTCGAGCCCACCGTAGCCAAGAACTGTGGGATGCTGCTCATGCCTAACTGTGGCTGTTCAGGAGCCAAGCTTCTGGACACCTATGGCTAAAGTAAAGCCAGCAGTGCAGAGGGAAAGCTTGGAAATTAGAGGGCTGAGCTTGTCTGAGCCAACTGACAACATAGACACCTTGTAGAGGGGCTTTCTTCCTGCTCTGGAATTTGAGTTACTGAAAATATCAACACTTGTGGGTGAGGAGCTGTTTGTAACTAGATGAGGATATGTAGGAGACTCTGGCTACGATGGTGCAAAACTTGCCTTATAAACAGCGATGACTTTCAAGAGCAAGACATTCCCAGAAGCAGGCTATTGCTGAAAATGGGGCTGAAATTACCCTCCTGTAACTCGCTTTCATAGCTGCTGTGTTGGTTTATGACTCGCTAGTGCAGGAGAACCCTTTCAAAACAGTCTTGCTCAGCTCTCAGCTTCATTTAACTTGGGTGTTTTTGAGGGGAGAATGACACATTTGGCTTGTAACCAAGTATTCTAGACAGAGCATTGTCCTTTCCCCTTCTCACGCCTCCTTAGGTGTGGATGAGAGAATTAAGGTCCTATGGGCAGATGAGTCTCCCAGCCCAGCAAATCAGTGCAATTTGTTCAGCTTCAGTGTCCCCAGCTGATGTGAAAGGACTTAAATCAGGTTATGACATGCTCATGTTCTCCTGTCCCTGCCGTTGTAATCCTACGTTTGCCGAACACTCCTGGGGCAGGAGAGGAAGGACACTATGAAAGTGGTATGTTGCTTTGCTATGTGGCTCACAGCTCAGCCCAAGGCAGCAGCAGGGGCATCACACGGAGACTTCTTGTGGCTGACCAACCTTGTGGTAGAGCATCTCTCTTAGCTAGCTGTCATCTCCAAAGGCTCATTTTTGCCTTTGGAGGCAGGACTCAGGAAGGCCTAATCACAAACTGACTGTCTGCATTACCTTGGGTCCTCTCTAGATAGGGATTTGAGGGGCATGTATGGGTCATGTAAACATGGTCCTGTTGGAGAGAAGAGAAAGAGTTTCCTGAAGGTTGCTACAGGCCCAGAGCCAGGAGGAAGTCTGGAGAAGAGACTCAGGGAGGTATCTTTCTCCTGGTCCTTGGTAGCTGGAGCCTGGTCTGAAGGTCCATTTTAAGCCAGGCAAAGAGGGAGGTCTTCAAACATAAGGCAGTATCTCTTTGAGGAGATGTCACTGTTTGAACCTGGGCAAATCTCCTCTTCCCCTTTGCCTTTAGCAGGCTCCAGATATTTCCCCTAAATCTTCCCTCATGGATCCAAGCCCTTTTCTCCAACCCCAGCAGCATCCCTGGTTGCTTCTGCAAGAGCTTTGCACAGGCAGCTGGCCTGCAGGGAGGAAGGCAACCTTCGCCATCTAGTGAGCAACGCACACCATCACGAGCAGCTGTGGCTTAAGAAAGGGCTGAATCCCTGTCTCTGATGGAAAATTCTTTTTCTCACCTCTGGAAGAACATACTAAAATACCAAGCTGAAATCTACATAGTAATCACCTACCAACCATCAATAGTATCTTACTGACAAGCTTTTGTAGACAGCAAATTTATCTCAGCTAGCATTTAAGCATTTCACCTCCTGGGAGGACCACTGCTGCTAAAGCATGTATTTTCTCCCCGACTCTGCTTGGTACTGAAGTGAGAGCAATGGCAGCACCAAGGGACTGGGAAGACAGATCGGTGTTACATGGTGGCTTAGCTAAATGTGTAATGTGAAGTCAGCAGGTGGCTGGTGGCCATGTTAAGAACAAAAGTGAAGTTTCCTGTGATATACAATACATGCACACAAAAGAAGTGTATTTTTTGTTGATTTTTTTTTTTCCTGAGATGCCCATAAATGTGCAGGGTTCAAATTCCCTCTATCTCAGTTTAAGAAAGGTATGATGAATGAATACTTCTTTGGAGGATTCCTAAAGGTTAGCTGACATCTGCCAAGAGATGCTAATGAGCAAGAAGCAGGACAGGAGTGGAGGGTCTATTGTTAGACCCATTTCTGCCTTCCTATCTGATTTTCTACTGCCTGTGCCCTATTTTTAGTCTAGTTTCCAAAAGGAAATAAGGGGCTGTGTGATTGCTCTGACCACTTCTATCAGTCCCTGCCTCAACTCCCTGCCCCACTCAAACAGCCAGGTTTCAGCAGGTTTGTGTATGGAGATGTCTAGTGCACCCCTTTGTGCTTTATGAAAACAGACAGCCAGGGGAGAGGGAAGGCCTGGCTAAAGGGAAAGTTGTTGAGTGAGCCCTGCGCTTTATCAAGTCATGGGAAGCTACTTGGGAAGAGCATTCAGGAAATGGGTCTTCATAAATTCAGTTACGAAGTTACTTGTCATTATCATGACTCATTAGCGTATTACATTTAATATATAAAACATTTCATATAATGCCATGTTATTAACTATGTTGCCACAACATGTAACAAACCATGGTTAGGAACAAGACTCACATGTCAGGTGCTGTACAAACATGTAACCCACAGATGTTCCCTGCCTTTCCAAATGCTCTCAGGACCATTTAACTCCTGATCAGTCAGATTTAGCTGTGGTGGATGATTTATTCCAGGCTCTGCCTCACCTTCATGCCTGTGACCACTGGCTCCGGAGCAAAGCAGGCAGCCTGGTGTCTCTTCGAGCATCACAAATCATAGCCTCTGTGTTTGTTTCAGACTGTCAAATTCAGGAGCTGGGAGCTCTTTCAGAAGGCCAGGGTGGAAAATAGGGAGGGGATCCTCTTCACTTTCTTATTAAATCTGAAGGATGAATTAGTGTCTGACAAGGGCTAGATAAAAGCTTATTTCATTTGGGGGTGATTATACTGATCCACCTATCTGTCACTCAGTGTCTCTGAGACGCTTCAGAAAGAGCTGTTGCACAGCAGAAGTCATATTGGGCTTAATCCTCCAACTGCTATAAAACATCTTTTAAACGTGTCACTGTGACCCTTTCCTGCATCTATCCAGTGATGTTCAGGTATCAGGGGAGAAGTCAAGGGTTGAACTTTAGGAGACATGCCCAGAGCCAAGGGGCATTCCCAAACAGCATCAGTATTTGGTCTTATACAGAAGATATGAGTGGAAGATAAGAGGGCTCTGAGACACGTTTCTGCTGGGAAGGTGAGGTGCTGGGCATGTTACTTCCTCACACTACTAGCAAGGAGGAGGATGAAGGTGAGGATGATGTGGCGGAGGAACACCTACAGTCCCACGTTGCAATGATAACACTGCTTTGTAGCTCATCGGTGTTTCTCTTTCCAGGTCATTTGGGGAAATAATGGAGGTGGAAGAGCCTCATCACTCCTTGAAGGAAGGAATAAGCAGCTTGGCTATGATCAAAGAACATGTCCTCATTCAAACCTAGAGTCCCTGAGCCTCAAACCTGAGGTCAATCCTCTGCCTCCCAGCTTATAAATGGGGGGCCCATATATCCAGCTGAAGAATGCAGTGCTCTTTGGAGGGCAGCATGGCAGCTGGTTCCCCATGTGCCCTTCAAAGCAGAGGTATGTAATGTTTTGGAATGTAATGGATGCTATATTCAGTGTACACTATAGATGAGGACTCATACCCCATGATTTGGGTAATCTTAGGCCTGTTGTCCTGAGAGCCAGAAGAAAGCTCAGAAGGCATTGGGGATAGGGTGTCGGGGCTGGTACGGACTCAGCGTAACCCTCAGTGGGACATGATAGGCCTTGTCACACTTTGAAAGGATCCTTCTGGCACCCTTGAACTGTGGGTTGATGGACGGACCTCGTACCATGGCTGTCTCATGGCTGGCAGAAGTGACTGGGCCATATGAAGCTACTGGGAAGCCTAGCTCCAAGCCTGAAGGGGCTTCTGGAAACAACATCTCTGGATGATACAGGGACCTGCCCACCACCTCGACCCAGGGGAACTGCTGCTGTGAATTGTTCATGGAGTCTCCCACCCTGTAGTCTCCAGGTTATGGGTTATATGCCTCACATACCCCAGCTCAACGAAGATGTTAGCATTTCTGGCCCGTGGTACTGTGCTAGATTATTAATAAGGGGTTAAAATCCTGATCAATCTTGACTCAAAGGGAGAAATCCTGTTTCGCTCTTTCTTACTTTATCCCCAGCAGACTCAATCAGATGCCTATTTAAATATCTATTACTACCTATGTAATTACAGTACGTATTGCCTACTTAAATGCCTTCTGTCATCTGATTTATATGGTTGAGCTATTCATTCTTCCTTTTCCACCTGTTCTTTTGCATTCCAGAGAACCACTAAGGAGGCTGGGAGAAATGGCTGCAGACCACTGCAAAACAGCCCCATGTCTGCAAGTGACAAGTGGTTTTAATGTGCTCGGTGGCCTACATTCAAATCTGGGCTTAAAAAGCCCAGCTTCTCCTGAAGCCAAAGTTCAGTGTAATGGAAAACTTTGCTAAGGTGTGTTGACAAAGGAATCCTGTCCCTGCACCTTGGCTGGGACTCAAGAGGCACTGAAGTCCAGTGGGCAATGGCATAATCTCTAGCACAAAGAAGCAAGCTGGCTGGAAAGCTCCTTTTACAGTCCAAACGGATGTTTCCCCAGGCTCGTAAAATACACAGTTTAAGTAGTAGCTATGTTTCTAAGGCTGGTCCCACACCTGCAACAACCTTGTAAATGGTGCTGGGATATATGGCTTTAAGACGCCTTGTAAAAAGTAAGATCAACATAAGATTTACACAGTTTTATGGAATTGTTTTATAAGCTATTTTGACAATGAATCCTGCTATCAAAATCACCTCTGGTGCTAATCATGGAGGAGGCATTTAGCAAGAGCTAACAAAGATTATTTTAAACCCCTTTCCAAATTAGCTGTGGAGCTGAGCTGGTTAGCCCCTGAGATTGGGGGCACCACTCATGCTGCAGCGAGTACAGGATTGTGGGTTGGTGGGGCAGAGTTTTAAATTGTGGGGGTGGATGTTTGTTGGAATATTTCACCCTGCTCAGCCAGGGATGGGGACTGGGTAGGAAATAGAGAGGTGAAGCCAGAGATCTTCCTTGGCCTCAGGATGCCCCTGCTCAGGGGTTGGGAGACTTCTGCATCTGAGCCTACGCAGGCAAGGGGACCAGGAGGGGATACTGCGTGGCAAGCCAAGACCTCACAGCATGTCTCTGGGGTAAGTGGGAATCAGTGCTGGGGAGCAGGGGCAGTTTTCATAGCTGATTCTGGAATCAGTGGTTTCAACGTTTCTTGCCGAGCTGGGCCAAATAACTGCTAACTCCCTCTGGTGAAAAGAGCGAATGTATTATATGCATCACCTTAGATCAGGAAAGTTTCCTGTACAGGTGTACCTTGTCAGTCAAATTCCTGTATGCTTGCATCCTACTAGCTACAGGAGGCAGTGGCCACGGCTGACACTGAAGAGACAGTCACTAGCCTGAAGCACTTATAGCCAAAATAACTAAGACACGGCGAGTGGGGTCACGCTCACTGGGGTTGCAGAGCTGAAGGGTTGAACAGGGTCTCCTGGGGTCTAACCTGCTCCTCCTGCTTCAGTTGATAATGTCGGCGCTCTTAAAATCTCACGTCGATCCCATCTTCAAGTGTGTCCTAGCACCAGCAGAAGCTGTTCCATGTTGCATGTACTCATTGGTTAAACAGCCATGGGAAGGGTGGAGGCATTTCAAACCTTCAAATCTCTTTTCCTTAGTGCTGGGCTTGGCATGGTGTATCCCCCTGATTTGAGCAGAAGATTGCTCAAGAAAATGGGAGAGAGTCAGAGGGGGGGCATAAATAAGACTTTTTCAATCTGTTTCAGACAAACATACGGCCCAATCAAGATGTGGTCTCTTTCCTCAGATGTTTCTAGCTGAAATCATCCTAGAAGTGCTCCACAAAGAGGCAGGTAGGAGTCTGAAGAAGTACTCCTAGCAAAAATAAGAGGAAATTTTAACTCTGTCACATTTTTCGTGTGATCAGTAGTCTTTGTTTCGTTGTTTTTAAGGGACAGGATCCCTGATATGTCTACACCAGGTATCTCTGGGTCTTGCAGGAGGCCAACACAATGATTTCTGCTGTTTTATCACAAGACGTCCCCTCTCTGCCTGAGGCTGGTGGTTCATTGAGGAGCTCCTTGTGCAGCCTGGACTTAGCGAGTTTGAGACACTGGCCTAAAGGTGCAGTTTCAGGAGTGGCTTAGGTGAGTCAAAGTCTGTGCTGCTGAAGGGCTCTGATGCTACCTTTCCATTTCCTCGCTGTTGTGGAGGAGCCAGGGATACATGGAAGGGAGATGTGTGTGGAGAGACAAGATCACTCAGGACCTGTAGAAAGCCCAAATCAAGACTGTTCCCCTTGCAGTGCCACAGTCTTTGTCCCTCTCTGTGACACCAAATGCCAGACCCTGCTGAGGGGACATGTGTGGGCCAGGCTGACTGGCTGCCCCTGCCACAGGGGCCACAGGGAGTCGGTGGCTGTGGCAGAGGTGGCCCCGGCAGCACCATGAGTCCCACTGCCACTGCTGATGGTCGGTAGCGTTTCGTTCTCTCTTCATGATTGCTGGGAGCTGTGAGGGGAAAGCCAGCAAGGAGTTACTTGTAGATAGGAAACCAGTAACACCGGCAGTGGGAAGAGGTGGAGCTGGCCTCTTCCCAGGGAGGTGGGAAGCTTGGCCCTTCCTAGGCACAGCAAGATCTCGGTCCTACACTAGGGAGAGCCTCTGAAATTTCCAGGTGCAGGATGCAGCCTGGCCTGGCCCCAGCAGCCAGCAGCACTCCTGTATGAAGCTATAGGTAATAGGATTTTTCATTAACAGCTATCACAAGCCACAGAGCAACTAGAGCCTCACCACTCACTGCCCATGATTTAAGGCATCTTCCCAGCTGGTCCAGGCAACCCCTTGGTTTACCTCTTTCAAGAGACTCTTCTCTCATTTCCCTTGAAAATCCTGGTGCTGAGCCTGAATTCATGCACATCAGCCAAGAGCTCTGACTCTTCTCTGTGTCCATGTCCTTACTCTTCACGTTCCCTTTCAGATCTCAAGGAGAAGAAGTCAGGATCAAATTGAGATTTGCTTCAAGCTCTCAGGACACTCCCGCTTTCCTTATAATTTGACATGTGAGTAGGCCAACAGCTGTGCTGGGTCAGACCCAGATCCAACAGTCCCGAAAGGAGATCTCCTACAGAAGCCACAGGCAGATGCCTCACAGAAAGCAACAGCAAGGCAAGCACATCATGTTTTCCCCAAGCACTTTCCCAGAATGACTGTCTGCAGCACAGGGGATTTCCTGACACTGCTGCTGAGCAGCCCCTGGTGGAGCTCTGTTTTCTAGGTGTTTGTACAATCTTTCCTTGGACCCAGGGATACTTTCAGCACCCCAATAGCCTCTACATAAGGTGCTCCATGGGTCATTTCTGCCCAGAAAGAGCCACCTGCACCTCCTCGTCAAACCTGGCTCCTGGCAGCTTCATTCGGTGGCTCTAACTCTTGCATTGGAAGAGAGCCGACAGCTGCTCCCTGTCAGATTTCTCCCAGTGACTCAAGATTTTGCAAACCTCTGCCACATCCCCCAAGCTATTTCTTTTCCACATACTTAGAAATCCAAACTAAATGCAGAGGGATATAATAGCTCATGTCTGTATTTCCAGTTGCTCTGTGCTCTGAAGGTGCCAGAAGAGGACGGCTGTGGGCTGAGTTAGGTGTGCAGTTTGTGTTTTGGCCTCCTCTCCTAAATTTGGCCCAGTGTTCCTCGTCTTTATACTCAGGCAGTTCTTGGGTCTCTGCACGCCTGGGATATTGAACACGTGGCATAACTGTGCAGCACTTTTTTGCAGTATATGATTTGGCCACGAGATGTCTCTTTAAGCCGTATGCAACTCCAGGCTAGTAAACACAGGGCCCAAGCTGGATCAAAAGCCATACAGAAGCTCTCGGGGCAAACCATTTGGAGTATCCCTGGTGAACACCCCCTACTGCGGTTAACAGGATTGTTGAGCAAAGCAGTAAGTGTAAGTAGAGGTGATACTGTTTATCAGACCGGTAGGTATAGGTGGGAGGGGAAATAAAAACAGCTAAGCTTTCAAGCACACAATACCTTCTTCACTCCAAAAATACAAGCTGCCATTCTCAAACTAAATCTTAGCTGTGAACAATCACCCTGAGTCTAGCTTGATTTTTGTTAATTATTTCAATTTATGGGAAGAAAAGGCTGATTGATGCCTGTGGAGAAAAGAAAATGGTGTTAGCAAGGAGAGAAGGCAATTGATAAGATTGTTGACTCCTGTAGCAAAGAAAGAGAAAGAGAGGAGAAAAGAGAGAGAGATGATTACTGACTGTGAGATAATGAAAGGTTTACTGTTGCTAGTTTTAGGAAAATATATGTGCTGTAAAATCTAGTGAGTTTGTCAGTTCCAGTATCCAGCAGATTTGGAAATGTAAGCTTATCTTTTAAAGCTATTTCATAAGTATCCCATGGGGCTTTGGACCAGAAAGTCAGAGATGGAGTGATTATTTTGTGAAAAATCACTCCTATTGGCAACCGAGTGCATCAGGTGCACTGTAATACCACGTAACATTAAAATAATTTCCAGGAGATTGTCTCTAGTATCATGAATTGATAACAAGTTCCTAGCACGAAATTGACCCTGACAAAAAACTTGCCTACCGCTCTGAACGTTATGAAATGACCATTTTATGGCAGAGAAAGTGCTGGTGGTGATACCAGGACAAAACACTCATCATCCAGTCCCTCTCCTTAGCTGGTAACTGTCCCAACGCAGGACGAGAACCATTTCTGCAAATAAGTGGCAAAATGTTTGTTTGATCCGCTAGCTGGAGCCCTTTGTTGGGAGCTCACAATGTGTGGAAAAAAGAGAAGAAAAGATCTGGCTGTAATGCAGCTGGAATGAATGCTTTCCTTGCCTGCCGATCAGAGCAGATTATAGTTCACCTGCTGTGAACTAATCTCCCAGGGAGAGGGTCGGTTGTTTGGATAGTGTTGCTAATGGAAGGCAAAACCTTTCTGCACGTTCCCTCCTTCAGCGCTCCGTCTGTTTAGAAGATGAGTCAGTCCTGGGTTATTCATCAACTTAGTTAGGAGCTATCCACCCAAGTTCACAAGTACCTCTAAAGCGCTTTACAATTACAGGAAATTATGCTTAGGAGCTAATGTTAAAACACAGCTATCTTCTCACTTCTCAGGCATGAGAGGGAGAATGTCAGATTCGTGGCCGCATTATTTCGTTGTGCTAGAGAGACTACGTGGGTGGAATTTATTCCCTACCTGAGCGCTTTGCTTTGTGGATCTGAGCTCTTCTCTAATACTGAGGGGGATATTTTCCTGGGGGAGGCTGGGAAGGAAGTGAGTCAGTGCCTTGGGAAGCCTTTCTGGTGATTTCAGCTAGCTTTGAACCAGGCCCTTGGCTTGTGGCAGAAGGCAAAATCAGAGCCCTGCTGTGGGCACGTGGCCTTACAGCCCATCTGGCTGACTGCGGTGTACTGGGATGCGTCTCACGAGCAGCCCCATGCCGCCAGAGAGGACAGTGACAGTCCCTCTCTGGATCTGTGGCCCTGGCTGCTGTACTTCACCCCCTTCCTCCATGTTGCTTATCCTCAGCCCTGAGTGTCTCCTCACCTCGGAGGAGACAGATGAGGGGAAGATGGGTACCTGCTTGTTGGTCTACTCACATTCTGCTCATGCAGGACTGATGAGTACACAGGATTCAACGCAGAGACTCACAGTGTCCAGGGCAGGAGGCTCTCTCCATGCTCCTTCAGTCACTTCGATCCATCTCCAGTTCACCATCTGAACTCCCCTTGAGGGCCAGATCCTCAGCTCCACCTTTGATTGGATTTGGGGCAGATTGAGCCCTGAAAGTTTACTGACATTTGAGAATCATGCTCTGCGGATCACCCGTCTGCAAGCAGGGAAGTAGCATTTGGTTGGTTTCTTATTTTTGTATCATTTGCTATGGGGGTTATGGATCAAAGTCAACAAATGCACACATGAATGTTAGTGACTCACATTTTTGTCTCAGAGACAGACCCTCTGTTTAGACAGTGATTTTTAACCACACTTTAACCCACATAGTCCTTAGGAAATGGCAATTTGAAATCCTCTGTATGTGCTGTGTAACTGCTTAGTGGATGGTTTGGGCTACCAAATTTCCATGAGATACATTTAGTAAAGGAGTATTCATGATGACTTGCAAGAAAAAGTTAAAATGGCAAAAATATTAAAAAATAAAATTTGTGATACTTTCCTTTTTAGCTCTCTTGTTTCCTTCTGCTGCTGGACTATGAAACACCAGTGTTACTAGCCGAGAGCTCTTGCAGGGGTGATTTGCCAGGATCACATCCCCTGACCTTCGACTGCCCAGCAGAAATGCTCTAGATGCCTATCTAAAGCTAGGTCCACTCAAGTTAGTCCTGGTCTCACAGTCAAAATCAGGCTGAAAAATCACATGTCCAGATGTTTTTACTACTTCCCTGTACACTCTGACCTACTGAGATATATGAAGATATTTAGTCACAGACTTTTTTTTAATTAGGCAAGAAACCATCTCTAGAAAAACGAATGTTTCCCCCTGCCTTACAAAACCAGATTGTCAGTGGGATTTTGTTGTTGTTGTAGTTGTCTTTTCTTTCCAAATGACTGAGAGTTATTTTCAATTCAAAAACCTTTTCTCTGAGAAATTTATGACCGTGGGTAACAATCTGTTCTTTTAAGGATGAATGAAAGATGTATATTTTGCTCTTGTGCAGCCACTGAGTGAGCTCTTTATTTTGTTGCCTTCCTTTTAATCTACCTTACTCCTTGAGACACATATCTGCAATGGATGGTAGTTGTTTGGTCATTTGGGACCACTGGCCTTGTGATGAATGTGTTTCAGTGCTAACAAGATGTTTATGAATTTTATCTCCTGTAACTTCTCTCTCCTTAACTTTGTAACGGTTTCATAATTTACCTTTTGACTCAGTAGCTCAATTTTGTCTGTAAATCTCTTCTCCTGGTAGTGTAAGAAAACGTCTTCTGTAAATCATCCATATGTGGAGAGACAGTTGCAGTAATTTTTTCATTAAAGTTATTCATTACTTTCATGACACTGCAAGCCATGGATAAGATCCTGATCAACCACAGAGATCTGAAGGCAAAAAAAGGAGATAAAGTGGAGGAGTCACCTGCCTGCATAGCAAACAGGGAAACTGAGGCACAAGTGCCCCAGGCCCTACACTGCCTGTGATACAGCTGGAAATTTGCAATTATACCTATAATATCTTCTCTACCAGGCTGGTGCTTTAAATGTCAGCATGTTATTTCCCCTACAAAGTGATTAAGTTTTTAATGTCTGACACCTTTGTGAAATCCCTTTATGGTCCTTCAAACTGTCACACCATTTTAATGCTTGCTGTTCTCATGGTTGTCACAGGAACATGATGATGCTGAAATATCAGAATATGTAGCAAGTGTTTGATCTCACTCTGTCTGCACTGGGGTTTAGGGAAAAAATAGTAATTCCAGTAATGTTATACCATTCTTTGGGCCTCGTTCGGGTGTTGCTGTCATCAGAGTCACACATACACATGCCCCAAATCCTTTGCTGCTGTGGGTGCCTTATTAGTGCTTTTATGTTAATTCTGAGCTAATAATGATGAGATCTACTTCCTGTGGAAGTAGGACAAAACTAATCCTGAAAGCATAGACTTAAACAGGTGTCTTTGCATTGGCTTCATTAGGGCTTTATATCAAACCACTGGAGCACAATGTTAAAGTTAGGGCTTCTGCCCTGGTAAACAGTAATCATTGCTGGAATATAGCCACATAAACCCTCACACAACACTACAAGCTGTCCTTTTCAACAACAAAAAGCTTTAATTTCTTTAACTGTCTCTAGATGGCGCTATGGCAGTAGAAGTTTTGCAAGGAGAAATGTTAAGGAAGCAGGCCAGGAGCCAGGAGGCTGCTGGGTTCTGCCCTCTGCTAGGCTTTCCCGGGAAGATCTGGGCTGAAAGGGAAAGAAATTGTATCATTTTTCCAGTGCTCCAGAAGATATCAATCACAGCAAGTCAACTCCTTTTTTCTCAGGAGATAAAACTAGTTTTATGATCCAGAGGAGATTCATTTCTCACAGCATCTCCGCGTACATGCGGTGCCCTGCTTTGTAGGTGGGATTAATGTGCAGATGGATCACTTACGCCCTCATCATCCTTTCAGAATTTTCCAGGGACATTTCCCAACTAGGAAGGGTTCATTTTTGTATGCTTCCCATAGCACATCACGTTTTCAGGTTTTATAGTTTTGGTGATATCTTCAGTCAGGTGCTCCTCTATGACTTTCCCACTTAAACCATCAGAGTGTAGAGATATCCATGAGGCTGGAATTCCCCATCTTTAAAAATTGACTTCACTAGGGTCTCTGATAGAAAAAAAAAAATCTTCTTCAGGACGAAAAGATTGGTGGTAATCATGTTAATGGAGTATTTAAAAGCCTAAGAGACACAATACTACAAGGGCTAACAATAAGAGGATGGCAGTGTAACAGGGAGTGTACAAATATCGGGGTGGCATTGCATTTTCAGTTTCCATATTGTTTTATGTGATTGCAGTATTGTTATTGTATCTATCTGAAAAACACTTGTGCTCTTGCCAGAGCAATGCTAATGTTCTGTGAGTTCAAGCTAGCTTTATTGTCTTGCTTTTCAAATGCTATTTGATTTTCAGTAGTTAGGCTCAAGGGATACTTCCCTCCACCACCACCAGATGAATTGTTTTCTTTCTTTCCTAATAACTAAAAAAAAGGCAGTCTTAATTTATGGCTGTTCATTTCAACATTAGATGTAGCAAGAAGTCAAAGCACACCTCTGTCTTTGGCAGACAAGTGGCTCTGTCATGGTGTATTTGTTGTCTTGGGCCAGTGGCATAAGGTGCTTAATGGCTTCAGGGGTCTGCACTGCAACAGCAGAGCTGGGCTTAGCTTCAGCGGATCCTGCAACCCTGTGATGGGCTTTGGGGTGCTGAACTCCAAGGTCTTCACACAGCCCAGTTTTAGGAATCTAACTGAAGTACATCCATCAGTGTCCTCCTGTAATTAATGGAGACAAGTAGGTACTTCCAGACAGTGGGTAAACGCATCCAGATTAAGTGCTTTAAGGCAAAGATGTCTTGACCTCCTCCTTCGGTTTAGATCCTCCCAGATTACTTCAACGCCTCCTCTCCTTTGCCTTTCACTGGGAGTTAGGGATCTGCATCCATCAGAGGAGACAAGCCTAAGTCAGGGAGGGTTATGTCCATAAATTTAATTACAGCTGAGCCATCAAGCTGCCTTGCAAACACAAATACTGGATACTGAAGTTGATGTGAAACCTTTGACTAGTGGAGTGACGATGAAGGAACATTTCTTTATAGGTAATATTAAGGAAAGATATGAACTTGCTTAAATTTAGGAATTTTCTTTTCATAAAGTACTTGATTTTAGATTTGAAAAGGCATTTTCTTTCCATAGTGAAACACATGAAATCTTGCAGCTTCTCTTTGCAGGTGTGTTACTTGAATTTCCTGAGGAGAATGTGGTTCTCCCGCCCCTGTTTCAGCAGTATTGCACTCCCAATGGTCATTTGTCCCTTCAGAGGAACAGCACTTCTGCTACAAAGTGGAGAGCAGAGAAGAACTAAGAAGACATCCCCCAAACAACTGCAAAGCATGAGCATAACGTGTGGAAGTGGATGACATTGTGGGGAGTGCACCTTGAGAGCCCCTGCTAGGTCCCCACCGCTGCCCCACTCTGGATCCTGCCACGTGTCACCCCCTGGAGCTGTGCTGCAATTGTCTCTGCAGTATCTCTTTGTGCACAAGAGCTAAGATTTGGGGGTACCTCAAGCTTTGTTCTCATGGCGTGTCCTAGAGCCCCTCAAATGCCCTGCTCTCTCCCCATTTTACATTCGTCCTCTGACTGCTCCTGCTCCTCAGCCTCTGGAGGCCATCACCCCAGGGCAAGTCTCAGGCCCAGTGAAGGCATCCGCTTATCTTCACCCTTTCTGCAGCCTCAGTATAGCCATATTCTCCATGCCTAAAGCGAAACGTGTTATCCTTTGCAGAGCCAGCCTGCTAGAGCCAGCCACCAGATCCTGGGCAACACAAGTGCCTGCGCAAAGCAATAATGTCGTCGCTCAGAGGTTGCAGTGTGACTTCAGCCTCAGGTCATCTGTGGCAATGCCATGGAAAACTGCCATGAGATTCACTCTTCTTTAGCTAATCTCTGGGGAGCTGACAAACTGTGCCTTAATTCTTCAAAACAAGAGGGCACATGAACCAAGTGTCACACAAAAATTAATTGCACCTTCTTACTAAGGGCATTTTGAAATTGTCTGCACATTGTGAGTATGCAGTAGCTTCAGG